TGGAGGGTAGAGTGTAAGAAGGAGAGTAGTGGGAGACATGATTGGGGCTGGGTTAAGGAGTTTGCATTTTACTCAGTGGGTAATGGGGAGCAGAAAATACGTATTCTTGCAAATTAAATATAACTGTTAGAATAAAAATTGCTAAAAAGGTGAAAAATTAATTCAGATTCCACAATTCAACTACCACTTGTCTGGTTTTGGTGTAGAAAAAGTTAAGAGATAGACAATAATCCATCATCTGTCAAACAGTGGTTCTAGAAAGCAAGAACAGAAAAAGAGGGGTGAGTTGGAGAGGGGAGATGAAATATTATAAAAATGAAATCATAGAAGAAAATTTATAGCTGAAAAGTCATCAGTCTTCTTTTTTTTTTGTTTTCCCCTAAAAAGATGACCGGTAAGGGGATCCTAACCCATAACCCTTGACTTGGCATCATCAGCACCACGCTCTCCCAAGTGAGCTAACCAGCCATCCGTATACAGGGACCTGAACTTGGTGCCATCAGCACCACACTCTCCCAAGTGAGCCTTGGGCCGACCCTTGAAAAGTCATCAGTCTTCTGACTCAAAGGTCATACCGAGTACCCAACACAAATTTTAAAAAATCTACAGCTAGATAGATCCTCAATATATTTAAGAAAAACAAGTATAAAAGCCTCCAGAGAGAAAAATATATACAAACAAATAAGAACTGATTTGATATTAAACTTTTCATCAGTGGAATGTGATGTTATGAGACAAAGGACCAATGACAGATTCTGAGGGAAGTGGAATATTATTCAGTCTTAAAAAGGAAGGAAATTCTTTTTTTTTTTTTTTTCCTTTTTGTCTTTTTTCGTGTCCGGCAACGGATCGCAACCCTCAGTGTCGTGCCCGTACCAGACCGGGACCAGCAACGGGATCGCAACCCTCGGTGTTGCGCCCGCTCGCTCAGCCAGTGAGCAGGAACCGGTCCGTATGTGGGATCCGAACCCTTGGCGGGAGCGCCACTGCACTCCCAAGCGGCGCACTGTAGCAGTGCGCCACCGGGCCGGCCCTTTTTTTTTTTTTTTTTCCTAAAAGGAAGGAAATTCTAATACATGCTACAACATGGATAAACCTCGAAGATGTTATGCTAAGTGAAATAAGCCAGTTGCAAAAGGACAAATACTGTATGATTCCACTTATAATGAGGTACATACAGTAGTCAGATTCATAGATACAGAAAGCAGAATAGTGGTTGCCAGGGGCTGGGGGAGGAGAAATGGGGAGTTATTTAATAGGTACAGGGTTTCAGTTTGAGAAACAGATGAATAGGGGTCATGATTGCATAACAACTGAATGTACTTAATGCCATTGAACTGCATATTTAAAAATAGTTAAAATGGTAAGTTTTGTTATGTATATTTTACCACATTAAAAAAATTGAAATTAAAATTAAGAAAAAAAATTTGGAGGGAAAATTATTTTGGACCTGGAACTTGGCATTCAAAATGTAAGGGCAGAATAAGGGCATTTTCAACAAAGCAACAACACAAAAGTTTATTTCCCATATTTCTTTCTTTCTTTTTTTTTTTAAAAAAGATGACCGGTAAGGGGATCCTAACCCTTGATTTGGTGTTGTCAGCACCACGCTCTCCCAAGTGAGCCACAGGCCATCCCTATATAGGGATCCGAACCCGTGGCCTTGGTGTTATCAGCATCATACTCTCCCAAGTGAGCCTCGGGCTGGCCCTCATATTTCCCATATTTCAATCCAGTAAATCTTCAACACATTTTGACAAGAATTAAATGCATTTTAATTTCAATAAGAAATCCTTAAGAGAAATCACAACATTATTTTATATATGATATTGAAGTTTACGATGGACAGTTTAAATGTTATCCACTTAAACAGATATTAGACAATAACTTTACTTCTACTGCTATTCTTATAACAAATACTAAATTTAAATTATCCCAAAGAACTTCTGGAGAGGGTCCAGGTACACAAAGAAAACACTGTAGGGAAGGTACTCTATCAGAAACTGTCTCTGGGCTGGCCCCGTGGCGCACTCAGGAGAGTGCGGCGCTTGGGAGTGCAGCGGCACTCCAGCCATGGGTTCGGATCCTATATGGGGATGGCCGGTGTGCTCACTGGCTGAGCACGGTGCGGGCGACACCAAGCCAAGGGTTGCGATCCCCTTACCGGTCACAAAAAAGACAAAAAAAGAAACTGTCTCTAATGTCCCTCCCAGATACCCTCACCCTCTGCTCCTCTTCACAGAAAAACCTGGAAGAGTTGTTTGTTGTCATTCTCTCCCTTTACTCTGTTCCTGTTCACTCTTCGAGTCAAGTGACCAGTGACATCTATGCTGCCAAGTCATATCCACCATCTTCATCTTACCAGACCTCTCAGTAACATATTCCACCTAAATGACAACTCTCTCCCTGAAATGCTTTTTTTCTCCTTGGCCCTGTGATACCACCTATTTTCCTGTTTCTTTCCCCCCTACCGCATTGGTCCTTGGACTCTTTCTCTTGCTTATCTACTTTCTCTCCCAAGATAATCACTTCCAGCCTCACAACTTAAAATACTATGCTTACATCAACTCCCAAACATTTATCTCCTTTGAGCTTCAGAGTCCACTTAGCATCTCTCCTGAATGTATCACAGGCATCTCAAACCTCACACTGCCAAAAGAGAACTCCTAATTCCTTCCCACCCCAAGGTGTTCCTCTCAGGTAAAGACCAACACTGTCCAACCAGTTCTTCAAGCTGAAACCTTAAGAGTTAGTAAACCTAAGGTGACTAAGAGCATATGTCCTGCAGCCAACTGAGTTAAAATACAACTCTGTTATTTATATTTAGTAACTATGTGATCTTAGGCACATTAGGGTTCTTATAAGAATTATATGCCTTACAATTTGTAAAGTATGTAGGATAGTAAGTTCTAAGTAAGTTACCATACAGTAAATTTATGATTATTCTCAATTCATTTCCTAACTCCCATCAGTAAGTCCTATCATTGATTCTACCATCAAGACATCCTGCACGAGGGCCGGCCCGTGGCTCACTTGGGAGAGTGTGGTGCTGATAACACCAAGGCCACAGGTTCGGATCCCTATTTAGGGACGACCGGTTAGCTCACTTGGGAGAGCGTGGTGCTGACAACACCAAGTCAAGGGTTAAGATCCCCTTACCGGTCATCTTTTAAAAAAAGAAAATAAATTTTAAAAAGACATCCTGCATGTCTGTCCACTTCTCTCCATCCCGGCGACTGCTACCTCATCACGTCACTCTCATCTCTCCCACCATTACAGTTTCCTTATTTCCTCCCTGCTTCTGTTCTTGCCCCCATGATCCATTCCTCACAGAACAGCCAAAGTGATTCTCTCAAAATATAAACCAGATATAATTCCTCTACTTAAAACCCTCCAATTTCTTCTCACTACATTTAAGTTAAAAATACAAATTCTGAGCCGGCCCGGTGGCGCACTGGATAAGTGCGCCGCTTGGGAAGCGCAGCTGGCGCTCCCGCCCGAGGGTTCGGATCCCACATACAGACCGGTTCCCGCTCACTGGCTGAGCGAGGCGCGGGAGCAACACCGAGGGTTGCAATCCCGTTGCCGGTCCCCGGTCCGGTACGGGGGCAACACTGAGGGTTGCGATCCGTTGCCGGACACAGAAAAAGACAAAAGACAAAAAATAAAAATAAAAAAATAAAAAATAAAAAAAAATTTTAAAAAATAAAAATACAAATTCCTTTCCTTGGTCTTAAATGCCCTACATCAGTGGTTCGTAGCCCTAGTCACATATTAGAATCATCTGTGGAGCTTTAAAAATTATTCATGCTTAGGCTCCATCCTGTACCCATTAAAGTCAGAATCTCTAGGTGTAATGCCCAACAAAATTTTAAAAGCCTGTCAGATGATTCTTATGTATAGCTAGGGCTGAAAAACCTTGCTCTAAATAATCTGACCTTGCACCCTCTCCAGTCATGCTCCTATTCATTCATGCATTCCAACTAACTGGCCTTTTTCCTTTTCCTCATGTTCCAAATCTTCTTGTGCCTTAGGGACTTTGCACTAGCTATTCTTTCTGCCTGGAAAGCTCTTCCTCAGATCTTCTCACACTTGGGTCCTTCCCTGAATTTCAGTCTCTGCTTAAATATTAGCTCCTTTATGAGCACTTCCCTGATATCCAGTTGAAAATAGATCACTAGATAGCACTTTGTTTTATTTTTATCAAAGCATTTAAATGTATTTTTGTGTGTGTGTTTACATTTCCTTTCTTTCCCCAGGAAAATTTAAGCTCCAGGGAGCTTAAGTGAATTGTTCATTGCTATGCCCTCAGGAGTAGATCAAGCAAATGGTAAGTGTTAAGAAATATCTGTTGAATGAATGAGTAAATAAAGAGGCGTGCTTGGAAACTAGTTGTCTCAAGGCTGTCTTTTGTAGCTTTAGAAAAATGTTTATTTCCTTTTGTTTTATGGGCTATTTCCTCCAGAAGGACAGGGCCTAGAATCACAGCACACTTCTATAAGAGACAGGATCTACATCAATCCTACATCTATGGATAATCCCAAACATTTACATGAACAATTTGACTGTACATCCCTTAACTTGTCCTCCCTCTAACTTTTTCAACCAGAATTGCCAACAAATTCAAATTGACTGATTTAAATGACATTTAATTTAGTTTCCTCACCAAGATTCTGGCAGAAAGGTTAACAAAGAAGGAAGTGACTCATGTGTAATGGGTAGGAGAAAGCAAAAGAGAAAAAAATCCATCTACCAGAGAGCTAACTTTGGTTTGGAGTTTTCCAATCTAATGCTTGTAGCGTCTAAATAGGCACTAAATTGAACACAAAGTGTTTCCCGAACAGATAAACATAAAACACTTTCACAGTTCCTTCAGCCTAAGACATTTTAAGAAATTTTAAAAGGAAAAAATATCTAAGTAACTGATTGACCAAGACTATCCCTCACTACTAGTGTAAGGTCCAGTGGTACCATTTTACATCTAGAAGTGAAGGTGTTACCTTTGGGATATCTCCTTTAATACCAGGAGGGAGCCGCAAGATCCAGAAGTTCCTGTTGCGCAGCAGGTTCTCCAAGTTTTCCAGCCGCCTCTGCAGCAGCCCATACTCCTGCAGCAGGGTCCCCAGCACGGCCCACTTGCCCTCCAGCTGGTTCCCAAGTTCGGTCACTGTCTTTTCACAGCTGGCTAGCTTCTTCTCTGCTGTCCCTGTCCGGCCTTCTAGGTGTAGCAGTCGCCGGCTGTGGACCTCCACCTTCCTCTCTATAGCCTGCACAGCCGCCACCACTGTCCACAGGGAGATGGCTGCTGTCTGCAGGTGTGCCTCATTTGCTGCTGGGGGTGTAGGAAGAGGAAGAGGCTGCAGGGATGTAAGGCACTCGGAGTCCCATTCAGAAGTCTGTGTGCATTGGAGAGATGGGACAAGACATTGAGTGTTAGAAGGAACCTTAACTCCAAACTAAATTCAGATAAGGACTGCTTAACTGTCCAGCCAAGATTAATCTAAACATAGTTTTAGTACTGCCTGCATAAGCCTCATCTTTCTGGAGACTATTGTCATCAAAAGCCAGGAAAACTGCTCTGGTGATTCAGGGATGCATTCCTTAAGACTGCATAAGCCTCATCTTTCTGGAGACTATTGTCATCAAAAGCCAGGAAAACTGCTCTGGTGATTCAGGGATGCATTCCTTAAGACTGCATAAGCCTCATCTTTCTGGAGACTATTGCCATCAAAAGCCAGGAAAACTGCTCTGGTGATTCAGGGATGCATTCCTTAAGACGGTGATTGAATGAAATTGACGCTAAGAACCAGTCTAACTGGTTCTTTCCTTCAGTATAAGGCCCAGGCTCAAGCTCAGAGAGGCTGCTACATCCTTTATCATCCTTTATCCTTCATCTCTGGAAAAGGCAAAAGTGCACAAGGATCCTATCCACAGGATCCTGAGCTTAGTGCCCTCTGATAAATCTCTTATACACTTATGCTCGGGTCCTGTCCACCACCCCTGTTTACAAACCACAACCCTACTATTCAGTAATAGTAGAATAAACTGAGAATATTGAGCCCAGAGAAAACCTAACAAATGTTTTCAAATATTTGAATATTTCAATAAAATAGAAGGCAGACAGACTTGTTTAATTTTATACTGTGTTACTCCAGAGGACAGCACTAGAACCAACATATGGAAATTTTCAGGCAGGCAAGCTTTGGCCTATAATAAATAATCTTTGAACTAGATCTTTCCAAGAAAATAACAATACTAAACTGTTAATTCTGCCCCAATACTAAACATACTTTGAAACGAAGAGTTGCATAAAAGGAAGAAATTCCTACAACAAATAGGTTGGACTAGGATGACCTCTACAAAGCCTTCTAAGTCTATACTTGATAAACTATTCTCTGGCCACAACCTCCCATCTTTCCAGCTCACCCAGTGCCTTATTCTCATTTCATCTGGTCTGCAATCCCATTAACAATGCTAGACCCTTGACCGTTCCATTTGCTCCTGGTTTATCTGCCTTTTCCTGGCTGTGCTTTCTTTCTCGGTTGATCATTTCAGCCACTCAAACTCTCGTTCACTCATGTCTTCCTGCCTCACCTGCTCAGCAAACCTCCAGCCTTCAATCAGTCCAATCATTCTCATTCTCTGTTCCTGTAAGCCCTACTAAAGGAAACCACACAACCAGCTGTCACCACACACCTATGGTCTCTAAATTCAGTGGGAACCTCAACACTGCCTAGTGACCTCCATGCTTCTTTTCCCATTCCATAAAGTGGCTACTACAAACCCTCTGCACTTTCAACTTCTAGTACAACAATTCTCAAATTAACATGCATAAGAATCATCTGGAGATCTTGTTAAAACACAGATTTTGATTCAGTAGGTCTGGGAGGAATACTGAGATTCTGCATTTCTAACAAGCTCCCAGGTAATGCTAACGCTGCTGATTCAAGGAGCACAAGTTGAGTAGTAAGTCTCTTGTCCGCCACAGCTCCCACACTCTCAGGAGAAGACATGGCCTCCTACTTAAAGAAGAAAATTACAGTAATTAGACCTAAACTCTCTCACATTTTCTCTGCTTCATATTCCTTCTGACTACAAATCTATCAGTAACTTAATCCATGCTTTCTCCTTTCCTTCCCAAAAGAAAAAGTTTCAGCCTATTTAAAGCTAATCTCTCCGCTTATGCTTTGAATGTCAACCCTCCACCTTTTTAGGTACATTGTTCCTTTCTCTTTTTTATCGTCAATAGGTCTCTTTCTCCTGATTCTTCTCCATAAGACAAACTCACACTATTCAACACGGTAGCCACTGGCTACATGTGGCCACTAAGCACTCAAAATGTGGTTAATTTGAGATGTGCTATGAGTTCAAATACACAGGAGATGGTGAAGACTAAGTATGGACAAAAATGTAAAATCCCATTTATACTTTTTTTATATTGACTACGTTTATACACTATATATATATATTTACACTATATATACAAACAATATATATATTTACACTACATATTTTGCATATATTGGTTTAAATAAAAAAAAATCATTAAAATTAACTTCATCCCTTTCTTTTAACTTTTTAAATGTGACTACTAGAGAATTTAAAGTTCTGTATGTGCCTTCCATTTTATTTCTGTTGGACAGGGCTGACAGCCACATAACCATCTCTACCATTAAAAAAAAAATTTTTTTTGGGAAAATAGAACCAAGAGCAGGGACGGCATTCCCCTCTGCTCTCCTCCCCACCCTGTTGCTGCTGCTCCCTTTTTCTCTTCTTCCTTTTCTGGCTCTCCAGTCACTCCTCAGTGGCCCAGTCTGGCTACTGACGCACTAAAACGGCTCTCCTTGAGATAACCAAAGGCTTTCTCAGGTGACAAATCCCAGGAATACTTTGCAATTCTTCTGTCCCTCCTCATTCTAAACGGCTGTGTCCGGGGACTGTCTCGGTGGGCTCGGTAGCCAGGGTAACTGGCGGGCCGCCGGGCCCACCGAGGCCAGCTGCAGACACTGGCGGGAGGAACACGCCTACGCGCGGCTGACCCCCCGGGCTGGGCAGCGGTCCTTCACTCGGGCGAGTCCGGCACGTTCTGCGCCCGGCGCTGCGGAGCGCGGTCACCGCCCCGCCTGGCGGGGGGACGCCTCCACACCCCGACTGTACCCTCGCCATCGCTCAGGTGGCCGCTCCGGGGAGGAGTCTGTGACGACAGCTCCCAGAGCTTCGAGAATGGCTGACGGGTTACAAAACCAGCCACCCCAACCCCCCTTCCCAGTCCGGCAGACTGTCGTGGGGCTGACACTAGCGCGGCAGACCGCTCGGCTGAGACCTCCACTGGGGCTCCCTGGGCCTCACTCCTGGAGGACTTAACGACGGGGCCCGGGGCGAGTCCATTCCGGGGTTCCCGGGTGAGCGTTTTCACACCCACGCGCCCGGGCCCCTCCCGGAGGACTGCAGCCGCCAAGCCCCGGGCCACGGGCGACGTGGCCGGTGGGACCCGGAGGGAGGCGCCTGTGCCCGGCCGCTCCCCGGAGGCCTTCCCGCCTCCGTGCCTCCCTCGAGGGCTGGGTCGCAGAGACTCAACACTCGCGCGCGGGCCGCCCTT